TCTGTTTCGGATGCCTCCTGGGCGCCTTCCTAGGGAGGTGTTCCGGGCATGTCCCACCGGAAGGAGGCCCCGGGCAAGACCCAGGACATGCTGGAGGGACTATGTCTCTCGGCTGGCCTGGGAACGCCTCGGCAGTCCCCCGGAGGAGCTCGTGGAAGTGTCTGGAGAGAGGGAAGTCTGGGCATCTTTGCTTAGACTGCTGCCCCCGCGACCCGGTCCCGGATAAGCGGAGGAAAATGGATGGATGGATGGATGAAAAACATTTATAAACTGTAACCTTTACAGGGGTTACGCTTTTACTGAAATTGTTCTGTGTAAGGTTTAATTATTTTACACTGTATGAACTTACCTTTTCCAGGCAAACAACCCACTCAGCAAAATCTAATTCTCATCCTGGACACCAACATTCTTCTCAGTCACCTGGATTATGTGAAAAAGATCAGACTGCATGGCCTAGAAGGTAAGTCAGTAAGGATAAAAACAACATTGTAATTTAAAAATCATAAAACATAATATGAAGAAAATTTTAAATCCCATTTTCACAGTTTTGTGATTTACTACTGACCAGGCAAGGCTACAGTCATGGTATGGAATAACTGGAATCATCATAGCATGCTTTTTTTTACATTTCATGTTCTCTTAGTCCTGGGCTTCCCTGTAGTCCTGATCCCATGGGTGGTGCTTCAGGAGCTGGATTCCCTGAAAAAAGGCAAAGGCCTATCAGGGTCTGTTGCCCACCTTGCTGCTCCCGCCATCTCATATATTTACAACTCTCTGAAGAGCCGGGACCCACACCTTTGGGGGCAGTCTATGCAACAGGCTACTGAGAGCAACAGTGAGTGATGATTTATAGAAGTATAGGAATTTTCAGCATGTTGAAAGTAGAACTAATTTATTAAACCTAAAGGTTAAGGTTTAAGGCTGTTTCTACTGGTTCAGGATGGCTGTGGTTTAGGAGGTAGAGTGGGCTGTCTCCTAACCAGAGGGTTGGTGGTTTGATTCTCAGCTTCTCTAGTCCACGTGTCCTTGAGGAAGACATTGAACCCCTAGTTGCTCCCGGTGATGTCACTGTTGTGTGAATGTGTGAGTGCTTGTGTGTGTGTGTGTGTACAGGAAATAGTGGCTGTGCAGGCTAATATAATGTCATCCTTGGTTATAATAAAGCACATATAAACGTTACAATAATTGCAGGTCAAACAATAAACCTTTGAGGGGAATCTGTTTGTGCTGTGCTTTTTTAATGTGTTAAAATATCTTAATAGAATCATATATAATACTTAATATCTTAATAGAATCATATATAATACTTAAGTCCTTGTGGAAGTTTTAGTTGCAAAATTATTGTGAGCTCTGTTACATCCTTGTTGTTGAATTCAAAATTATGTTAAGATGGGTTTGCATAATTTTTTTTTGATTAAAATCACTGTTTGGGGTTGTCTGATATTGAACATGACCTTGATCTAATTAAAAGTTGAGCATTTGAGTTAACAGCTTGCCATTTCACAAATTAGTAAATGCTTGACTATTCACTGCATAGACACTAGGTGGCACTAGCACCAAGCTGCTCCTCCTGAATTCATCATCATAGCATGCTCTGTGTGCATCTCAAAGGCAGGTTACACCCATACATAGACTAACCCACTTCTTAGCTTTATATATAGACATTAATCTTTCAATATTAGTAGTAGGAACTTTTCAATAAGAGGGTGATAAAGGAGATTTAGCAAAGATATTGTTTCATATTTCAAAGTATTTAGGAGCTCACATTTTAGGAGGATTAGTGTATTTCTTGAAGTAGACCTGAAATCTCCATCTGGTGTTCATCATCTTTGAATCTTTCTCCAAAAAACATATTGTGCTCTGTTGTTCATTGTGGCAGCAGCATACCATGTGCTTTCAGTGTTGTGAATTAAACACATCTTTTTTGTCTTTGTGTGGACTGTCGGTCACTTGTCTTCTTGTTTCTTCTTCTTTCTCTCTGTACTTTTGTGTCCCTAGAAAGTCTGAATGCTGAGAATAATGATGACAGAGTGCTGCAATGCTGCCTGCAATATCAGAGACTGTACCCATGGTGTGCTCACATCCTGTGCACGTGAGTTCCCCTTCCCCCCACAGTTTACTGCTGCTGCAGCTGTAGAGTGTGTTCTGTGTGCAGATAATGCACATGCATGTGACTGTGAGTGGTCCAGTCAGATAGTCTCAGTTAAAGAGAGTCAGACAGAGTAACTGGGCAGGAATAGATGTGCTGAGGAGGGAATTCTGAGTTTAGTTTAGGATAATTTGGTTCATATAGTAGCGATTGTTGAGTTGTGTCACTTTCTTTTTTTTTTTTACCTGTTTCTCTGATTGCCACTAATTCTACACAGTGTTACTGATGATTTTTTTTTCAGGTAAAAGTAGAAATTTAATTGTCATCTGTCTTAATGTTGTTATGTTATCACTGCCAGCTGATTTAAAAACATCCTCATTTTCTTTCCTCTTTAGTAATGATAAGAACCTCTGCAGTAAAGCACTCTTGAGTGGAGTGAGAGCCCTCAGCAAGAATGATTTGGAGGCTGAGGTTCAGAGATCCAGATGTGGCCTTCACCCTCTGCAGAGCATGCAGAGTCCTGTGCTGCCTTGTTCGCCAGTCGAGCAACACAGTCATAACAGAACAGGATTTTCTGTCGGACTTGCAGAGAAGGGTGAGCCAGGGATTAATGTGTTCTTCATGCAAAACAGGAAATTACTCAGCGTACTGCATCATAGTGCAGAAGTAATAGCAATTACTTGCCTTGTCCACTCACCCCTTCCTATTTCCCTATTTTCTTTTTTTCTCTTTGTTCATTTGTGTTAGTTCAGGTTATAGCTTCTTCTTCATTAAATGAAAAACACTTTCACTGAACAAAAATGGAAAAAATACAAACAAAATGCTGAAAATGGTTTTCACCTTCATACACTCAGCATTACAGAAGCTGAGTGGTGATATGTCTAATCCAACAGCTGCCATAATACCTAGTATGCATATTATGCTGTAAAATGCATATACTCATGTAAAGGATAGCTGCTGTCCTGCATTGCATGTTCACAGTTTCTGTACTCACATATTGATTTATGTAACTGATCACAGATAGCCAGCAGCCCACTGAGGAAACCAAGGCAAATTTGAACCTTAGCAGATGCATTTCTGAACTAGAAAACTGCCTGCAGGAGGTGCTGTCTGATGTGTTAGAGGTGGAGATGAAGGCCGCCTATGGAGATCTGTGGTTGGAGGTAAAGTTGTCCTTTGGAATTTCACATTATTTTTCAAACCTTGATTTGTTAAAACAAATAAAACAAATTCAGGCCATTGTTTCACTGTGTTTTTTTTATTTCAGATAGTTTATGTAAAACCACCATGGACTCTCCAAGATGTCCTGCAGTGTTTGAAAAAGCACTGGATTGCTGTCTTTGGGAACATTGTCCCACGAAGGAAGCAGCAAAATGTTTTAAGTCTCATCGACTTCTTCAACTCAGGTATGTAGGTGGTACAGAGGAAAGTGCCAGTATGTATTTCTTGTAATTCTTCTTCTTTTGGCCGTTCCCATTTGGGGTCGCCACAGCGAATCATGTGTTTCCACCTAACTCTATCCTCTGCATCCTCTACTCTCACCCCAATTAACTTCATGTCCTCTTTTAGCACATCCATATATCTCCTCTTTGGCCTTCCTCTTGACCTCTTGCCTGGCAACTCCATCTCCAACATCCTTCTACCAATATAACCACTATCCCTCCTCTGTACATGTCCAAACCATCTCAATCTGGCCTCTCTGACCTTGTCCTCAAAACAACCGTATTTCATATAATTAAATATTTGTAATTTACCCTAAAGATTTCAGCAACTGTTTGGTGTTGTGGTAGAAATCTTGTTGCAACCATGACTGATTCCCAACTTTTATATTTTTATTTTATATAAAATCAAAAACAACAACTAAAAAAACAAAGATAATGGATAGTAGTGGATCATTTGTCCAGAGAGATGTCTCTAAATGTAGGTTACCATAAACAGTCTTGGTTGTTTGTTATCAAACACCTAGGCACTCAGTGTAAAGTTGTACAGTAACTTAAAAAATGTAATCAACATAACATAGAAACTAATGTAAAAAAATTTTATGCAACTCAGCAGAGAATCAGTATCGGTAGCTAACTGTCCATAAGGCATGATGTCTATTCTGCATAAAATGTATAACGTTCTCAATGTTCTAACCTCTTAGTCTGTTTTATTTAGCAAATTCTCAGCTGCTGGAATTTGGGAAGATATGGTAATATTACAAACTTTAGATGAAACATTTGACACCATATTTCTAGAAGCTGATCTTAATGTTCCTCTGAATATGAACGCTAGGTTTTGAAAAACAACAATAATGAGATGATATGTGAGAGCATAGAAATTCACTAGTGGAAACGGCCGGGCTGAGCTCTCTTAGGTGTCTAAAAATATCTTTTGTTTCACCTTAACAGTCTCAATACTGTATGAGGCTTTGTGACAAAAATAATTAAGCCGGGATAAGGAAAATCCCATTGCTTGTTGCTGTTGTTAGATGGGTTTAGGGTTATTGATTGTAAGGTATGTTAAATGAAAACCTCAAATATCCAAAGGACTCAGCTTGTTTTTATTCCTCATCAGCTGTAGTGTTGAGATAGTGAGTCATCCCCCAGATAAAAGCTGTACCCCGCTGGGGGATGACGTTGTCTGCCCTGCACTCTGCTACCCTACAGAACTACATATAAAATCAGGTCATCTGCTATAACAGGATACTCAAATGTGTGTCAGAAACATGCTGAGTCGTCCACTGCAGCGCCTCTTGCTCTGGATCTCGTCACTGAATCTAATTACATTTTATGTTGAGCTTAGGTGTTTCAGTCTTTCCTTCAGTCCACCTGTGCGGCATGACTGCTAAACCAGTGGCCCTGTTCTGTGTGCTCTGTTCACAAGAATGATTCTGGATTTCTTGATGCCTCACAGTCTGGCTTTGTGCCAGGGCTCTGAGAGTAGGGCAAGAGGGAGGAGGAGGAGGGCGACGACAAGAAGGAGGGGTAAACCATTTGTGAGTCTAGGAATAAATGTAGGAGTGGAAAAGTACTGCATGCAATGTCTCTGGTCTCTTCTGAGCAGACTGTGAGTGTGTAGTCACTTGTAGCTATACTCCACACAACCTCCTACAAAAGATAAAAGTAGATTTTTTTTTAATGGTTAGGGTAAGATTATGGATATATAGCCTTTACAGTTAAACAAGGGTAAAACAGTCACAGTCAGTCTGAGCTGGCTTGGTTTTGGCCCATCAAGAAAAGGGCATTTGTTCTTCCCTTTGCCTTACTTTCACATGTCTGCCAGTTGTGTGTGTGCTTGTACACTCTGTTATCAGTTTATTGGGTACACCTATCTAAAACTAGAGCTGTCTAGTACAGCAGCCATGTGTTGCTTTGCTTTGGATGCTGCAGTTTGTGGCCCTTTTGAATTGTATTACATTAAACCCAGGGGTTAATTTGTGCTGTAACAAGCAGGATATAGCACTTATCAAATAGTGACTGGCACCTTTTGACAAACCCGTGGTGCAGTTGGTAGAGCTGTCATCTCCCAACCGGAAAGTTGGAGGTTCAAATCTCAGTGCCTGCAGTCCACATGTTGAAGTGTCCTTGGGCAGGACACTGAACTCCTAACTTGCCCGTGATGGCGGCGCGTGCGCACGCAGCGGCCCAAGGCCCTCGGCTCCAAACAAAAATATCATTGTACATGTTAAAGAGGATTCTTCTTCTTCTTCACTTAAATATGGAAAAAAATGGGCTCTATAAAAATATATAATGAGGACAAAGTCTAATACTAGTTGTTCAACTAACCTTTTACCATATACTGTAGGTCTATTTAAGTTCATGAAGTCGCTATTTAATAAGGAGAAAGGTGGCACCTTGAAAGTGCCTAAGAGAGAACTAGAGGCTTAGAAAAGATGCATGCAGATAAAGATAGGGAGGAAGTTAGGTCTTCCAGTGGATATGCCCCCCACTGGGGCAGTAGAGCAGCCTATGAGCATCAGATCTCACCACTAGTGTTTACCATGGCAATGGGGGTTATTATTAGGGCATCTAAATGGGTCACAGGAGGCAAGAGGCTTCTGTCAGGGCAACAGTTACTACCCATAAGAGCGTACATGGTTGACATGACAACTACCACTGCCACAGCACCATGTACCAAATGACTATTGGACAATCTTGGTAGAACAGTGTCAGTGGTTGTACAGTTGAGCAGACCAAGCTCTCAGAGGTGATTGTCGTTACAAGCCAGTTTAAAAAACTGAAGGTAAAAACCTGTTTATTTAATGTTACTGCATTATCTAGTCTCTGGTGTTCTTCTCATTACTTTACTATTACTTTCTCATTATAATGTTAATAGGCAGTGCAATAAGTCCCCAAATAATATGGTGAAGGCCATAGCTTGACAGTCCTAATATCTGTATCACTCACCCTCAACTGTTATAACTCAAACTTGCAGTTGCTTGTCCTCTAAGTTGCTCCTTTTATGTGGAAACTACTCAAATGCACTGGTCATCGAGGAATAGTTTTGTTCCCTGGGACCTCCTCTCTACCCACTGACACCTGGGGGCCATCATCAAGTGATATTCCAGGACCTCATTGTTTATAAATGTTGCATTGATTTATATCACTGGGCAAATTCACTTTAGTTATAAATTCATTCAACAACAGACAGCTGAGTGAATATAAGCCTTAATGTGTATCTTTGTGCATGTCCCCTTTTTGGAACAGTCATCAAACTGTATGCATCTGTTTATTTTCTCAGGTAAAACAATGGACTGTAGCGCCACCTTAGTGGCCCTCCAAGAAGCTAAGGAGCTTGTGAAAGTGTTTGGGAAACGTTCAAGCCGTGTTCCCAGCGCCATCTCTGTAATGGACAACATTACTGATCAGCTACAACCTCAGGTCAGGTGGAGAAATGTTGAAATTCAAGTTTAATTAATGAAGTCAGTGCTCTAATTAATTCCACTTTCAGGTTTGAAAGATCTGATGAGTACCAGAACAACAATTAGACAGAGAGCAGGATGTATTTTCTTATTAGACCCCTCTTTTTATTTGGCACTGTTGGATTTAAATGGCTTCATCTGTGTGTAGGGGGAAGTTCCAGCTGGTGATACTGACATGAAAGATGATGATGCTCAGATCTCTCATCAGGAAGTGTGGGCCCTGTTTGAGAACATCTGGTTTAATGTGTATCAGATGAGGTGCGTGTAAAGAGAACTTACTCTTTAACTGGGGGTTAGAATGATGCTTCTTACTTATTTCTTTTTTACTGAACTTTGCTTATATTTGTTTAAAGGATTAGAACACTGTGTATCATCTGTACATCATGTCACTAAGCATTCAGAAGTTATTGTTTCCTGAAAAGTGAACAACAAATGACCTGCTGAATCTACACCACAGTCTGTTCCTGTAATTACAGTAAATGGTTATATCAAGTTATTTGTGGGAACAAAAACGACACTTTGGAGGTTTATTTTAATTTGTGTTTTGCTTTTTTTCCATTCCACTGACCTCTGAGGTCATAATTTTCTGTCATGTTTCAGCTTGGAAGTATTCAAAGCACTTGGCTTTGACCCTCACACCATGCAGAATACTCACCCAGTGGGTGCTCCTCCGCCACCACAGGAGGCATTGGCCTATTTGCACAAATTGTCCTCCATGGTGTCACAGCTGCTCCAAGCCTTCAGCAGGTATCTTAGCTTGCTTATGTTACTGCACTCAGTCTAAACATATCACCAGACATCTGCTCCTCTGCCTGTTTGCCACTATGCCCCTGTGTCTGTTTTATGATGATGTATTAAATATTTGATTTGATTTGAGACATTTCCTCCTACTTCTTTCAGCTGTAGCTATACATCTATCTACACCTGCCAAGAACACAATCTTAATGGGTATGTTTAGTGTTTATAGAGCCTGGGTTCTAAACAAAAAGAAAGATGTCTACAAAGGAAATTTGATCAAAAAAATGTTACTGCTTCTCCTTGAACACTTTCCATAGCTGTTCTGTCTCTATCATCATCTTTACCTATCTCTCTGACTTAATGTCATATGTACATCTAACCTTCATCTCAGCAGCCAGTCCTTCTGAGAAGCCCCTTTAACTTGTTCTTGGCATGTCCTTGACCAGCCTACTTCTCCCTCTGTCCTGTGTGTGTGTTTGTATGCGCCCATAGCCCTCAGACCCTGTTTGGCATCTGACATTGGTCAGACCATAATCTGCTTGACCTTGTAGCTTTGGTTACCACCTTTCCCATGACACAACAAACAGCTCTACCCTGGAGCACCGTTTAGCTTCTCACCGTGCCTTCAAGACAAAAAATACTAATAGTTATCTATGGGATTTCTTCACCTCTTCTTGGTGCCAGTATTATCTGCTTGTGCCTTGCCTGCATGAGCATTTGAACTTATTTACATATCAAACAGGACTTTAGCACTTATTAGTCATCTACTACTCAAACTGGGGTATGAGGTCGAGTTGATCTTTGGTTGCAAGATAATATCAGTGGTGTTCTTTTGGTCTGTGAACTTCTACTTTGATGATGCCAGTGTGTTTTTAAAGTTGACATCAGTGGGTTTAGTTCAGTTCAGAAACTTGATTTCCGGCACAGTTTTGCAGTCATGTCTTTTCCTTTCCTTTTTTTTTTTCTTTCTTCCCATTCTCTGGTTGTTGACTTGTGTTACTGCCATGGCAGGTTGCAAACATCCAACAATAGGCCTTTATCACAGGAGACATTCTCGCATGTCACAGTAGGAAAAGCACGAGTAAGTGATGAAATTAATGAGGATTAAATTGCATTTGACTACTTTTGTTTTAGCGTTCTGGTTTGCATGCTGACTCCTTGTCACACAGTCTTGGCTTACTGGGGCACTTGATTCAAACAGATCATTCAATGTTATAAGTATCATGTGTGCTTTTCCTTCTATGACAAGATTGTAAAGCCTGCTTTGAAAAGGCCTGTCCAGGTAGTTTTAGTTTGTTTAAGCTCAGCCTGAACCAAGACAGAACATTTAAGATGTCAGCTTATCATCGCCGTGTCTTCCTGGTGTGGTTTGTAACTGATCACAATACTTGACTGACTTTATTTCC